TGTGCTAAGGGGCCCCAGCAACACAGTCCCCTTTGCTTTCCGTGTCTCCACCGGCCAGTTTCTGCTCTTACCCTTGATACAGCCGTCACATCTGGGGGAATTAGAAATGAGTTTGGAGGGGTTGCCACCCCTCCTCACCACTCACCTGGGCTCAGCAGCCAGCAGCCACCTGCCTCGGGCCCCTCCTCCTCCTGCCTGTTCCCTTGGTGGGTCTCTCCCTTTGTGCACATGCCCTCAGCGTCAGAGTGGGGCCGAGAGGCCTGCCACGTGTCTGTATGTCTATCAGGCACAATTCCTGATTTATAAATATGGCTTGTTTCCAAGCTTTGGGAAACCTGCATGCATTCTTTTTTTCCTTCCCTCCCCCAACTCTCCCTCACAGTCATTCATTTATTCATCCATCTCTGCATTCATGCATTTATTCAACACAAATCCTTCTGCATGTCACTATATTCCAGGCACCGAGGCTGACAAGCTTACTGGGCCAGTACCTAGGTCCCCATAGGGGTGGGATGGACATGCTCAGAAGATCAGGGGGAGGAAGTGACTGGTGCACCAAGAGGACTGATCCCGTGTGGTGGGATCCAGCCTAGTAGCGCCTCGTGGTCAAAGCACCACTAGGCCCGGAAGAAAGGGAGACTGACCACATGGAGACGCGGGAGTGGACCGGAGTAGGTGAGGCGCCCAGCAGAGGGGCCAGCGGAGCAAGTCAGGGAGGCAGGACAGCACGGACAGGTTGAGTAGGGGGTGCTGCCTTTGTGGATAAATTGTTTTATTGGATCAACACCGCACCTTGTTTACACATCGCCCTTGTGCACAGGCAGAGCAGAGTGGAGCGCATGGCCAGCAGAGCCTGAAATCGCTGCTGTCTGGCCTTCTGCAGAGAAACGTTTGCCTGCTCTGGAAAGGGAGGGACAGCAGGCGGTGGGCGTGGGCGAGAACAAGGAGTGGGGGTGGGCGGGAATGAAGACCAATGAGCAGGTTGAATGGTGAGTGTGGAGAGGCCCTGAAGGCTTTTGAACAGGGGGTATCGTGATGAGAAGATGAGAACTGTGATTTGGGAGGATAGTTGACAGCTGGGGAGATTGGTTGGCAAGGGCGAGACTGAGGGACCTGCTGGAGATCTTGGCGATAGTCAGGTAAGAGGGGAGGGGTGGAGCTGTGGGGGAGGAGCTGTGAGTTATTGGGGTTGGGTATGCAGCAGGGAGGTGACCAAGGGCACTGAGATTTGGGCGTGGTGCCAGAAATAGAAGCAGAGACACAGGAGTGAGCTAGCCGGCTCCATAGATAGACCAACCGAAGCTGGACTTGGTGGTCCTGGCGCCTGGGCCAGACCAGCAAGGCTCTGATGGGACTGCCGGACCCGGCTTGGGAGTGCAGACAGAGGTGGGCAAGGAAGAGGAGGAAGATGATAATTTCCTTCCAACTTTCTCTGGGAGAATTTTCTAGAAGGAAACCGTGCCTTTCTGCCATCCTCTCTCCGCGTCTGCGTCCCTTCCCCAGCTCAGGTCCCCCAGTGCCACCCACACAGCCAGTTCATGCTTCTGGTGGCACCCACAGTGTGGAAGGCTCTTCCCAGTCGCTGTGTCCCCCTCCATGTCGGAGCCCTGCCTCCCCCTGTCCCAGCAGCTGCCTGTGCCCTTTGGGTGCTGCAGTCATAGACCCTGAGCTGGCCTCCAAGCGATGAGATGCTCAGAGTAGGCTGGGGCAGGGGCTGGAAGAGCCCACCTGTTGCCCTAGACTCCTCCACTGGAGTCTAAGCAGCAAGATGGGCGTCCAGGGCAGCCTGGGGTGTGTGGCCGCCGAGGACAGTGTAGCCCGGGGGTCAGGGGACAAGGCAGCCTCCTTCCCCTCCTACTTATTGAGCTGGTGTGGAGGTGGCTGCATGGATGCTTATTTCTCTCACTGGGGTGTGAATAGGGCTGCGACATTTGTCTTTGGTGCCCACGTGGGAGGGAGCACCAGGAAGGGTTAATGGTCAGGAGGGTGGCCAGGAATTTGTCCCCGGTGGTTTTCGAATGAGTTGATGGAACTGCTTTCTCTCTGCACTCACGTTTCTCCCATGTGCATCTGCAGAGAAGGCCCACAATGGGTTGCTCTGGGTGCTGCCTTGGGTGCCGGGCTGGGTGAGGGGCCTTGGGTTCGCCTTAGGAGAGGTTACCGCAGCCATCACCGTCTGCTCTGTGTTCTGGAAGTCACATGCGTCCGTGAGGCACGCCTGTCTCTATTTTATAGATGAGGACAATGAGGCTCCAATAGATGAAGGGACTTGTCTCCAGTCATTGGCTGAAGTAGACTGGAGCCCAGGGCTCTGGCCTCTCAGGCCCTCCCTTCCCTCCTTGGGTCAGGGTCGATCCTGTGGGGGTGGGCCCTAAGGGTTAGGACCCTTCAGTCTAAACGAACAGGACAAGCATCCGTGCACTAGCTCATGGCACCTGAGGAAAGAGCTTTGGGACAGCCAGGGGCCTGCCTGTCACCTGCACTCAGCTCGGCGTGGCCTCTGCCTGGGTCTGCAGCAGTGCGCATCCGTGCAGGAGGACTTCCCGTGAATGCTGGGAAAGGCGCATTCAGATGGAGCTCTAAAGGGGCACGAGACTGTCCTGTCCCCGCTCTTCCCGGAGGTCAGCCCTTTCCTCCCCACGTCCCTGTGGCCCTGTCAGAGACCACGGCTGCACTGTATCCCCCGGGGCTGGCCTGGGCGGTGTCTGTGCTTCCTCATGGTAACAGGGGTCAGAGGAGAGGGTGAAGGGGTCCCCCTCTGCTGCTTCTCCTCCTGTGTTCCCTCCTCCTCCTCTGTGACCCTCCCCTTCCTGCTGTTCCCTGCCACTTCCCTCTCCTTCCCCCTCCATGCCCTCCTCTGCCTCTTCCTATCACCTTTGCCCCCTCCCCCTTCCTCTCCTCCCCCTGCTCCCTCTCTCCCCCTCTTCCCTGCCCTGTGCTCCTTTTCTCTGGGTACTGCTTTTCCCTGTTCTCTCTGCTTCTCCCTTTCTCTGATTTGCCCTCTTCTACCACTCCCTCCTTCTCTCCCCACCTTCTCCCTCCCTCATAGTTGACAACATGCCTGCCCTCCCCTCTTAAGAGGAGCCTGTCAAGCCCTTCTCACTGGGAACTGAGGAGTCCAGCCACAGGCCAGGCCGCTGCAGTACCCATGCCAGGCGGTTCCATGGTGCCTACCCTGGGTGACTCCATGGTGCCTACACCAGGCTTTATCTCCTCAGTCGCTGGGCCCCGATCCTGTCTCCTGGGAACTTCTCTGGGGCTCCCCTGGGTGCAGCCTTCAGGGCCAGCAGGGTCGAGGACCCTGAGCTCCCTGAGATCAGGCATCTCATCAGATAAAGTTATATGGCCAGGCTAGAGGTCATTGAATTGAGTTATTTTCTCAGGCCTTACTTATTTTTAAGCAGTCGACTATTTTAAAAACAACTTTGTGCACAACTCCAGTATATCAAACAGAACTGAGCTGTGGGTTGAGCTGGGGGTGAGGACCTTGACCTGGCCGTTTGCCCACACAGGCTCTGTGTGTAGTGAGCCCTGTGGTGAGGGCCTGCGGAGGGAGCAGACTTGCCACACCTGGACAGTGAGGGCAGGAGAGGATGCGGGAGGCACAGTGCTGGGCCGGGTGGCACAGAGCCCAGCAGGCCCCAGGATGCCACGGGGGGAACTAGCAGGGGCTCGGAGTTGCTCAGGGAAGCGGCCAAGTGAAGGTGAAGGTTGAGCAGTCAGACAGGAGGCAGTGGTGGCAGCGGTCTCTGAGGTGGGGCATGCGGGCCACCCTGGCAGCGGCCTCCCACAGCCCTGGCCGGAGCTGCACTGGGTCCAGGCAGTAGAATCCAGTCCTTGGGGCAGAAGGGCCCCAGAGCACTCGCCCTTTCCCAGGGATGCAGGTTGGTGGCTTGGCTGGGCTGGATCTGGGCACCTGGGTCACTGGTGCTGTGGTCCTGAGCAGGATCCTCTTGGGTCTGGTTTCCCACCCACTGCACTCATCACCACCCTGGTCACATCTCCACCATTGGCAGTGACTCTGCTCTTGGCCGGACCTCTGTGTGGTAGCTGGGCTTTGTTTAGCTGACCAGATGCCCTGGGTGGTAGATTGCCTGTGATGTCCAAGGGATTTTGATACTTGTGGCCAAGAGCAGGGATTTAGGCATAATTTCTTGGGCTTCCCAGTTGCTTCTGGTGGCCAGAGAGTCCCCACAGGTGCCTTGAGAACCAAGCCATTTGAAGTCAGGATCGAAACACCATATCCGCCAGCCGGTTCCCGGGGTCACTGTTATGATGATGATAACAGGACTGTTCGTCAGCACACTCTGGTCCTGCATCCAGGCGGTCATGCCGGGGGCACAGAACCCGGAACCATCACCAAGCCAGCTTTCTTTCCATTCCTCACCTTGACCACAGAGCTCCCAGGGGCCATACATCGGTTTAGGTGGAAAGGCTAACCCTTGGCACTGTTGCCAGATGTCCTCCTAACATGCACCAGGGCAGACATAACTAATCAATCACAGTCTCTCTCTTCCTCCTGAACCCAAATGAGGACTCATGGTCTTCAATGAGCTGACTCTCAGATGCCGATTCTGCTCAGTGGCATGCGTGCGTTCACTCATCTGTCCATTCACGCACTTGGTGAGATGTTTACTGAGCTGCTGTCATAGGCCAGACACTGTGCAATGTGAGGGGAGGAGGGCGTGGTCCCTGCCTGTCGTGAGGAGCTGAGTGTGGTGGAGAGACCTGTGAGTGGCTTCTGACTCTGTTATGCTGGACGTTGGAGAGCGGAGTTAGAACTCTCTCTTCAGGAGCCGACAGGAGCCGGGACCTAGTCGCTGAGATGTCGGAAAGGGGCAGGGTCTTGTGCTGCGTGGGATGGAGCCAGAGCTTTCCCTGTGCCCTGTGCTTCCTGACGCCCACAGCAGATGGCAGGGCCCGGAAGGTGGGCCTCATCCGAGTAACAGGACAAGCTCAGCTGTGGTGAGCCGTCCTCACTGGTGCCTTCTCTCCCACAGGAGCAGGGGCTGAAGGCCAACAGCTCCAAAGAGCTGAGCACGTGCTTCACAGAGGTGAGTGGGGCAGAGTGCAGTGGTGCAGGGGCCTGGTCATGGGAGGCTGTTTCCAGGTGAGCCTCAGACTCAGGGCCCTCGGATCCTGTTGCGGGCTGGGCCAGCTGAGCTCCTGGCCCGCCTGGGCCTGCTGGGCACACAGACAGGGGGGGTTGGGGGCGGGGGGCGGGTGCAGAGGCTGCAGCCAGAGCCTTGGCTGTCTTGGGAGAGACACTGCCTGCTCTGAGCAGGGCCCTCCCAAGCCTTCCTGACCCTTTAAGGCAGGTGTGCAGAGCACCTGCGCGTGCTGGTTCTGTGAACTTGAGACAGAGAGGACACAGCCCCTTCCTCACAGGAGCCCCGGTGCATGGTGGTATCTGACTGTATGATAGTCTGTCTATAACTTACCCGAGAAGAGGCCACGTAAGCTTCCACAGCAGGAGGAGAGCGCAGTCAGAGATATGCAGGGGGTGCTCTATGGAGGGGAGGAATCGGCCACATTTAGGAATAGGAAGAACAGAGCAGCTCTCTCCTCTCCTCAAGAAGGTCCTGGGACCCGGGAGCCCGTTCCCCTTGAGATCGTTATCTCGCCCCTTCTCCCTGGCCTGCGTCAGGCCTTCTTCCTCCCCGGGAAGTGTCAGCCAGGCTGTCCTGGGCATCATGGCACTGCCTTCCCCAGCTCGGGGCTCAGCCCAGCTCCTCGGAAGCCTGGCTGTGCCTCCAAGAGGGTGGGCAAAGGGGAGCCCCCTGGATGGGTGGGAAGGCAGCGGCATGGGGAGTCAGTCCTTTTCTTTGCCTGCTCCCAGCCCTGCTGACTCCTTTGTTTGTTTGTCTTTCCTGTTCTCTTTGCTTCTGTCCCCTTCTGCCATGGCCTCAGCTCACCACCAACATCATCCCAGGGAGTAACAAGGTGATCAGACCCAACTCAGGCCCCTGCCGAGCCAGCCCGTCGGCCGCCTTGACCGTTTTCTCCTTCCTGATGTTGAAGCTGGCCTTGTAGGCTCTGGGCACGGCGTCTGGAGGTTTCCGAAAGCTACGTGGACACCCGCCTGCTGAATGGACACACACACACACACACACACACACACACACACACACACACACACCTTGCAAAAAATTTCCCTCACCTTGTCTCTGAACCTGTCTGTTCCCAGGTTTCTTCTCTGGAGAAGTTTTTCTAAGCCAAACAGACAGTAGGCGGGCAGCCTGAGAGCCTCCTGGGGGGCCCCTGGCAAGGGCACCCCAGCGCCAAGGAGGGCGCGAGGGTCTAGACATGCCCCACACCTTCTCCTGGTGTTTTCCTCTCTGGACCCTGACGAGACCCCTGCGGCTACGGGACTGTGGCCGTGCCTGGTGTGGTCTGAGGCAGGACAGTGGCCGCTGCTCTTCTCAAGTTGCCCACGCTGGGGACTTGCTGGGGCTGGCAAGGGGCGTCAGGTGGCAGAGCAGTGGGGCTGGCCCCTGGGTCCAACTGGGCACCAGTCGCACCTCCACGTGCTTTGAGAGTGGAGTTTATTTTGCCCTCCCTCTGGGCTGGGCAGGTCTGCTTCTGGCCTGTGGAGGGGTGTGCACGGAGGTCCCCCACTGTGGCACGGGCTGGGCAGCTCCAGGGCCTTGGGGGCTCAGCCCACCTGGGACACCCCCTCAGGAGGAGGGAGCAACACTTGGTCGCAGCTCGGGGCTGCTGCTTCCTCTTGGTGGCAGGAATTTTGAAATAAAAAAGAAATGATTCTTCGGTGGCTCTCTTTGGAGAGGGGGCTGCTGAGAGGGGCAGCGAAGACCACAGTGGACGTCCACCGCCCCACACTCTGGTCTCTGCAGCTCTCTCCCCACTTCCACCTTATCTTTCCTCATTTCTGAGACATACGCCAACTGTATGTACACAACATGTTGCCCTTCTCAACATATATGTATATACACATCCATATACATATATCGTGTGGTCTCCCCTTTCTTTCCTTTTTTTTAAGAAACAAAACTATTGAAATAATACCCCAACAGATGAGCGAAATGTATTATTGTAAAGTTTATTTTTTTTATAACATTGTCTATAAAGGGATCGGAGGAGATGGCCTCCCCGTGTCCCGGCCCGTTGGGCCGCCGGGCCGTGGGAGGGGCTCCTGATCGCATTCACGCTGGCCAGGCTCCAATAAATGTCCTCGGAAGCAGCTTGGTTTCTGCCTCACTCCCGTGTGCCTTCTCCCTGCTTGGTTCCTGGCCCAGCCGCACCTTGGCTGCTTACCTGGGGCTCCTGGGTGGGGCCGTCTGTCACGTGTGCTCGGTGTGGGTGATGAAGCTCCGTTAGGAGATGCTTGTATACTTGGTGGGTCTGGGGTCCCACTGTGCTGAGTTTGTCTGGCCACTCACCTGTCTGTCCCACTTCCCCTTCCCGATGAGTGCCAGCGCCCTTCGGCGGTTGGTCCCAACCTGGAAGGGGAGGAATGGCCGTGAGGATGGAGGTGAGGGGACAACTTGTCACACTTAGGGTATGTTTTTGTTTGAAGGCTGCCTGGGCGACCCTGTAGTTGGCCCTGCTCGTCTGCCCGCTGGGACTCCTGGTTTACTTAAGGTGTGTGATTGTGAGGCAGGGACCTGGCTTCTTGGGTCCCACCAGGGAAGGAAGACGCTGTGGCCCAACCCTGCTCCTTGTTTTCTCTACTTACCACCCAGCCTCCACCAGACATGGGCCTGCCATGTTCTCCCGGAGAGACCAGAAGGATGCCTGCTAGCTGAATGTGTACACGCGTGTGTGGGCTTGCAGGTGCTCACATGTGTGTGTCAGTGCACATGGCAGGAGAGAGGAGGCAAGGTTGCCAGTGAGGGATGTTCCCGCTGTCAGCATGGCCTTCAGGGATGCACACCATCCCATCCTGTCACCTTTGGGAGATGGGCTGCTGTTTTCCATTCTCCCAATCCAGGGCCCTACAAGTGGCTCTTGTTTCTGGCCACTCATGCTCCACGTCCACGGTGGTGGTCACTGTGATGTACAGCGTCCCAGCCCCTGCATGGAGGGGCGCTGAGGAGCCCTCTTCCCCATCATCACTGGCCTGACTCTGTGTGTGGAGGCAGTTGTGGGGCCACTTGGGATCCATGTGTTTGCAAACAGCAAAGTCTGGTTGACTTCAAGGCTTGGTGGGGGGAATGGCTCACAGCATCAGTGTTCCTAGGACAGTCGCCAAAGAACGTCTGCAGGCTGGATGGCAGGATGATAGGGTCAGCACGCTGCCTCCTCCGTGATGAAGGACCACCACCCGCCATCCAGCTGTGTGCACTGGGACCGTGTACCTACGTCCTGCCATTCTTGGGTGCAAGGATACTTCACGTCTGGCATCCCTCATGGGAAATAAGCCCTTGGATTGCATGATGGGGAAGAGGAAGTTTCCCAAGAAGAAGTGGAGGTGCCGTGATGAAGGGAGGAGTGGATTCTGGGCAGCTTTCCTCTGCCTTAAAACGTCTCCCAGGCACCGCGTAGCTAAACTTTTACCATTAAATATTCATTCCTTTGGTTGAGATGACTTCTGTTCTCTGTGATCCTCTCAAAATGTGTTAATAAAACTGGGAAGAATAAAATGTTACTATTTAATGTTAATTAGCTTACTAGTGAGCCCAGACATCAGCTTGGGCTTGGGGGAGATAAGGGGAGAGGAACAGGAAAGAAATCAGGAGATTGGTCGGGGCTACAGAGAGAGATCTGAGACTGTTTTGGAGTTCTTCTGGGAGAGTCACCACATGCAGTGTAGGCCAGCCGAGCCTTTACCCCAGAGTCAGCAAAGTCTATGAAATGAACTTGCTTTGCCTCCAGCCCCCTGGGGACTCCTGATCTGGGGCACACATTGTCTGCAAGGCTGTGCGATCTTCCCTACGTTTTCCAGGCTCTAGTACCTTGGCAGGTTGGGACATAGCGATGCTAATCCCCTCGCTGGGAAGGCTTCCAGCCTGGGATGATTTTGCTCAACCAAAACATCAGCTTCCCACCTGGCCCCTGCCCCTGCTGCCCTCCTTTCAATGCAGCTAGGCCCCACTTGGACCTGTCTGAGCGCCCAGCTGAGCCCCCACCCACACCCACCAGCCGTGGCTGGGGAGCCAAGGAGGCAGATCAGGAGCTCGGGGGACTCCGCATCAAGCCAGCCATGCCCGGGTCCTTGCTGCCCTGGGGTGGGCTGCACAGCTGGCCTTGTTCCAAATTTTCTCAGTTTCTTGTACCCCCACCCTTGCCTTTGTAACCTTGGCAACATGGGTTTCCCAAGACAGCCCAACCCTGCTCTTGGGAGTCCTTCCAAGACATAAGCCCTGACTTGATCCTCAGGCCCTATAGCTGGACCCTGCTGTCTCCTCCAGGCTGTGGTGATATCAGGCAGCTCCAGGCCTGCTGGGGTGGCTGCCTCTGGCCTGCTACCTGGCTCCTGCTCAGGGCTCATCTGCTCACTGAGGTGCCCACCCCGGAGACCAGTGCTGGTTAACTCCCAGGGTCTGCTGGTCCACTTGCAATGGCTTAACTTCATGCTAATGGGCCATGTGTATGTGCGAATGTGCGCGCATGTGCACATGCGCCTGCCAGTCCCTAATTCCCAGCCCTGTCCCACTGACCGTCAGGTGCCTGCATAAGACTGACTTTCCTTTACTCACATAAGGGCAAAGCACGCTAGAGAAATTCTTTGCCAACCTCTCCTAATCTCTGATGTGAATTTGAACTCGATCTTCCCTCCAAGTGGGCCAGAATGCCAAGGGGATGACTCTGTGACAGTCCAAGTAAATGTGTTCATAGCCTGTTGCCCATTCTTCGGTCTCGGTGGGGGTAGATATTTGTCTTTAACAAACGGAGTAAATTTTTCTTAGGGTAAACCAGTCATTTGGAGCCAAAAATGGTAAATAAGTTTGGTAACGTTCTTAGTGGTTGGTTTAAGTGGTGGAGAGACTGGTTTTTAGTCACCTCTTCAACCTTGGTTAGCTCACCTACAAAGTTCTTTTTTTTCTAATCCTCACCTGAGGATATTTTCCCATCAATTTTAGAGAGAGTGGAAGAGAGGGGGAAAGACAGAGAGAAACATTGATGTGAGAGAAACACATCGATTGGTTGCCTCCTGCACAAGCCCTGACCAGGACCTGGGCCGGGGGCAGGGAGGAGCCTGCATTCAAGGTATATGCCCTTGACCGGAATTGAACCTGGGACCCTTCAGTCCGATGGTCGATGCTCTATCCACTGAGCCAAACTGGCTAGGGCTACAAAGTTTTATTAGATGATAATTAAGATACTTCTAAGCTCCAAACAAGCTTCAGATGGGAGAGACAGACGATGCTGAGATGGTTTCCTGCCCAGCGCCCTCTGTCTGAGTAATGGGACCCCGGCCCACCCAAGTGGCTACTTGGAATTTCTAGGTTCTGATGTGTTTCCTAAAATCCCAACCACATCACTCCATTGTACACCTCCTACCTTAAAACGGGGGCATTAGAATCATCACAAAGTTGCTCTTTACAAAATCAGGGCTGTGCCGACTGTCAATTAACCAGAACATTACTTGCCACATTCCGCTTCCAGAGTGAGTTAGTTCTATATTCTTTGTGCTGTACTTTTCAGAGCAGAATAAGGGAGTAAACATTTTATAAGGGTTTCCATAGCATTACTGAAAACCCAAACCGAATGTAGCTGTTTTAAACTACGTGTATTTAAGACTTAACTAATGCCTCCATAGTCCGCACCCTGTATCAGGCACTGTTCGGAGTTGCATGAATATTAACTCCTTTCCCCCTACTTGGGTGCAGCCAGTTTGCTCTGTATCCCCATCCTACAGAAGAGCAGACTGAGGCTCAGAGAACTTACCTTCTTGCCCAAGATGGTACATGGGGGAGGGTGCAGCACTCAGACGCAAACAGGCAGGCTGGCTTGCAGGTCTGTGCTTTACTGGCTGTGCCAGGCTGCCAACCCTCACTAAGCTGCCACGATGTGCCCTGCCCCGGGCTGGCCGGTGGCTGCCACCTGGGGGGCTCCAGTGCTTCGCTTGCCTCTCCCTCCCCAGCCTACAGGGCAAACATGAGGGCGTTCTGTAAACTAGTTCATTGAATCAAGTGTGGTGTGGACTCAGAAGGGAGAGAATGTGAGGAAGATGCTGCCCCAGACAGGGCCCTGCCCCAGGCCTTTCTGGTGGGACAGTAGGGGGTGGGGGCGAGCATCCCACCTTGGTGTTTGCCATCCTGATTTTCCTGGGAAAGATCATTCCCATGTTAGAAAACAGCTTTGACTGGCAGGCAGCCTCTCTGGGAGGAGGCTGGCTGGCCGAGAACCTGCGCATGGGACTGGATTGCTCTTGCCTTGGAGGCACTGTGGCGATGAGGAAAGACGATGCATTTGGGGGTGAGGCCGATCTGGGTTTGAATCCCAAATCTTTCATTGACCAACTGGGTGGCCACATCCAATCTGGGCTTTGGTTTTCTCATCTGTAAATGAGGATGGCAGTCCCTGCCTCATACAAGCACTGCTGAGGTTAAACGGGTATCCCACGTATCCAGTATGCCATGCTCTTCCCTTCACCCCCGGGCATGCTGGCCCGGGCCTTCATGGGTTCTCAGTACCTGCCTGGCTGGCCAGCTTTCCTACTCTTGGCAGTGGGAGGAGCTGTGCTGGGTTCCGACCTCGGAGCCTCTCCCTTCCTCCTCCTGTGCCCTGAGCCGCTTTCCACGAATGACCCATGGCAGACAAAGAACAGAACCATTCCCAGGCCCCAGCCTGTGCTCTTGGAAGCTTTGCTGAGAGGAGTTGAAAAGGCAGGAGGGGTGAGGAGGAAGAAAAAGGGGACCTCCTGGTATTTGTAAGTCACTGCTGATTTGATCGGCCAGTCGCTGGGGACAATGGCTACGGAACATCCAGATGTCATGTTCTCTGGAGTCCCCTGGATTGGCCACCTTCTCTCCACTCATAAAAACAGAGGATATGCCATGGCAGTGAGTGCACCAGCTCAGAACCCGGGATGGGAAGCATCGATTGGCCCTGGGGGCTGGGGCAATGATAGCACCCTCGGGAGGTAGGCAGGCTGGTGCGGGTCCCTGTGGGGCCAAGGCAAGAGCAAGTGGCTTAGCTACCACAGGTTCTCAGGAACTTCCTCCAGGGAGGGAATCTCAGGCCCCCCAAATCAGCTTTTGGGAATGAGTGCAGAGTCACCTCGATGCTTTCTGAGCAGAACTATCTCACCCTTGGAATTTTTCTACAGAAAAAGCCTGGCAATAAGCTGAGCGTCTGATGATATGTCCAAGTCCGTTTTCTTTCTGCAGAGAGTCAGGGGTCTACTGGAAAGAACGCCAGGACCCCAGGTTCAAACCCTGGCTTGGCCATCCATCAGCTCGTGAGATTAAGTCACCGAACTTCTCTGAGCCCCAGGAAGGGTGCTTTGGATTAGGCACTGGCAAGCCTTCTGTGAAGGGCCAGCTGATAAACATTACAGACTTTGTGGACCATGTCAATTTGGTGGCTGCTATCCACTGGACTATTGTAGCTGGAAAGCAGTCGTGGACAGTATGTCAGTGATGGAGACTGACTGTGTTCTGATAACACCGTGTTTACAAAAATAGGCCTAGGGTGGATTTGGCCCCTGGGCTACAGTTTGCCACCCCTTCCCTGATGGTCTCTGAGATCCAGCTCTCACTCTCAGGCAGTCTGACCACAGGGCTTTGGTGGTGCCGAGGGATAACGGGGCTGACGCTATCCTTAGGTTGGAGGAAGAGAGAGGGCAGGTTGCCACTCTGATGAGCGAGTTGGACTCGCAGATGAGCTGGTGGGAGAGAAAGCTGGGAGGAAAGGCCCTGCCTGGGAGAGAAACCAGACAGCCTGTGGGCCACACACACATAAGCATGGTTGGAGCATGGGAGCTGCAGGTAGGTTGTGAAGTTGTGCTCTACACAGGGCGAATGGGGCTAAAATTCCCCTGCACCCACCCAGGGCCTCCTCCTCCGAGGAGGGGGCATTGTTCCCTGATCTGCACGACGGTGTCGGCATGCATTGGAGCAGGCCCTGTGGCTGAGAGCAAGGGGTGGGAGGGGAGAAGGGCCACTGAGGCATGGCAGCAGAGCCCCCGAGAGCCCCTGTGTGGCTGTTGGCAAGTCACTTAACCTGGCTGGCTCCACTCTCCTCATCTACAAAGGGAAGGGTCAGGGGGTTGCTCTCCAAGGCGCCTTCCCACAATGGAATTCTGTGATGCGATGACTGCCAGCTATTTCTGAACTCACCAGCCCGGCACAGAATGACTTGGAAAGAGACGGAATTCATTTCTCTCAATAAACACTGCTACCCTGCTTGGTTGCACCAATTTTTCAGCAAGTGTCTTGTGCGGAGCTGTGGACTGCAGCTGTGGGCTCCTTCTGCGTATGGCTGCGTGTGCCCATGTATGCCCCTCACTCTCTGCCCAGGCCTGCTCCTGGCAAGACAGTGTCTCCTGGGAAGCCAGCACCTGCTGGGCCACATGGACCAGGGCCTGCCCCAGTCCTGACCTCCCTCCCTGGGGAGGCACTCTCCAGTTACAC